CTGCAGAGTTCTGGCCATTAGATGTAGCTCGTCTGTGTTGGGACATTCTTTTGAACAGTGGTTGCTTTGCCACTGTTAGTGTACTGTTACTGTAGCCATGTGATGTGAGTATCAGTCACATGGAGGCTGGGCTTAAAAGCCTGAATTTTGCCTGAAACTCTCAGACTGAAGAAGTCTCTTGGAGGAGAGACGAAACAATTTTTTCTTTTTGATTTTTTACCTGGATTACTGAGATGCATCAGGACATTCCTTATTGACCATGTTTGTTATATCACTATCATTAATTTGTCAAGTAAGTTGTTGAGAGTGTTACCTGCAGTCTGGATAACTGGGTGATTCTGGCCACAATCTTGTTATACGGATCAACAATCTTTGATCTTATCCTGGACAGAAATTCAGTTAAAACATTAGGACATCATATTGATTGTGTATTAGACAGATATTTTACAGATGGTGTAGGAAAAGGGGTGTTATCTTACTTTATAAAACTTCTAAATTTGTGAATTTTGTTTATGTATTTTGATTGTGCTTACATGCTAAGTGAGTTTTACCATGCAAATTATTATTTGTAGAATGTCATATGATAAAGAACAGATGAACAACAGACCTCACAGTGATCTCATTAAATACAAGATAACTAAAAGACATGATGATAAGATATAAGATGGTATGAAAGACTGGTTCAGGGGAACATTGTTAATAGAAGAATAAACACACTTAATTAAAATTGTCATAAATATTTATATTTACTTTAATAGACAGACTATTCATTATATAAAACATCTTTTCTGAAATAATAACACTAATGCAAATAGAGTTCAAAGTATAAGAAGATCTCAAAAAGCAAGAGAAAAAAAGTTTTTAGAAGTTTGTTATTCTGCCCCTGTAGATTCTGGAACTGTTCTAGGTTTTGGTTTAGTTTTGATTTTTAACAAAGGGTTCACAGATTGTAACATGTATTTCCATAGCTTTTAGAGTCTAATCTAACCAGGTTAGACTGCAGCAAAATATACAAATAAAACACTGCTTTTTTCAACTAAAGGCATCTTTGAAGCTTAAATTTAAAAAAAGAGAGCAAGACTTGATTTTTGGACAAACAAAAGATTGATCCTGGACAGACAGTACCATAAAAAATGAAGCTCATGTTGTTCGTTTTTCACATGCATGCCAAAAAAATTTAATCTTCTCAATGTTGCCAGCTAAACAAGCAGATTTAACACGTGTCAAAAATGGGATGACTCCATCAGTACAAAGGATTTATTCGATGTACCTGTCAACAGCAGCCTGCAGAGCACTTATCCTGATCTGCATCATCTGAAGAACACCTAAAACAAGAGTTTTCTTTAAGAAAAAACATTACATTTAAAAGCTTCTTTAACAGATATTTGAGAAGTCTTGGCTCCATCTGGTGGTAAAACCCAATAACTATACAGCGAAGATCAGACTTTAAAGGGGCAATATCATGTAAAATCAACTTTTTTGAGTTTTATATCATGTTATAATGTTATACTCTCACAAAAAGCATGCCCAAAGCCTTGCTTTGACTCATTCATGCATGTTTGAGAAATCCTGCAGTGTTTTTAGGAAGCCATGCTGAGGAGCAAAACGACAGGTGGGGACCAGAAANTGACGTGTTCAATACTTATTTTACCTGCTGTATCTCTGAATGAGTTGTTCCGAACTGTAATTTCCCTTCATGGGATCAAAAACGTTTCATTCATTCATYTCTTATGAAGTTATTAAACTCGCAGCCAAACACCTAAAAAGGTCTCGTTTCTTTGCAGTTTGCGGCATAATTATTAATGTCAGGTGCAAATGAAGTAAATTCAGTGCATTCTCCTGCAASAATTCAGCACTAAAAAGGTGAAAACGAAAAACAAACACTCAAAATTAGAGAACTGTTCAGTTTTCCTGAACAATRCTGTAAGATAATGACAAAAAACTGAGAGTGACGGTGGAAATTAAACGGGTTTTACCATCTTTCAACAGCGATTTCGTAGAAACTTCTGCGTCGTCCTTCATGTTGTTTACACTTCCGGGTGCAACGTCGACGTCTTTCTTCTTCGTTTGATGTTTTTGCTGCTTGTCATGTAGTTTAAGGGTGGTTAGTGAGCATTACCGCCATCTACTGATGGCTTCTTGATGTTTAAATTTCTGTTWATTGAAATTCAGTTAAACATTTTTTAAATCGATTATGATTTGCTGTATATCTATTATGTTAAGCTTTTCCTTAATATTTTTACACACACTCCCCATATTATCTTTATTCTTGCTCATACATCTACCAGTCCATGTTCAGTTGTTTCAGCTGTCACATTTCCCTGCATTATGTTCTTGTTTTGTAAAGTGTATAATTATGTCTCGTTTATCCAAATCTCTTGTTTTTATTCTTTCTTTCTGCTTCTTCCAGCTTCATTTATTCAAACGCCCTGTGGAGCTTGTATTCTTTGTCATTTCCATGCCAAACCATTCTTTCTTTGATTATGCTTCTTGCTTCAGATTCACTTGTATGAAGTGTGAAATTAGTGGCAMTTTGAGTTGTTCTCTGTATCTACCTTCTCATTTCCTCTTTCATCAATATGTGCTGGTACGCAATGAAATATATTACAATTAACTCCATCATTTGTATTTTCAGTAGGCCTATTGTCTGACTGATTGTTTTTAACTGAACAAATTTTAGAGTTTAATGGTTTTGCATCTTCCACCTGTCAGACTAGTAGCATTTCTCTGGAATATACAGATAGTTCCTGGTTTGTTTTCATTCTTACATTTTAAATCATGGTAAAATAAAAATGACTTTTGTTTCCTCTGTTGGTTTAGATACATCTGTGTAGATCTGAATTTACTAATAATGTTTATAGGCCTCTATGTGAATTATAATGTATGATTTATCCTNATTAGTTGTCACTCAGTGAAGCTCTTTTCAGATTAAAAATACCTTTGAGGAAATGTATATTCAGATGCCAAGTAAACTGCATCATGGCACCACCACCAACCCCGAAATGGGCGAGACAGAAGCAGAAGGTGGCCAATTTCAAGGTGTTTAGAAGAGGAAGTGATGAGAAGATAAGTTTATTTTCTATTTAAACATTAAATATAGCATTTTAATAACAACTAAAGGTGACATAGATACTTTATTATGGTATAGTATTTAAATATGTGCCTGAGAAACATGTAATATTGCCCCTTTAAAAACAGTCCAAACCTATTTATCTTCATTTCTTTATTTTTAAACTGTACGCCTAAGCTGTTTCCATGTGGGTACGAACTGAGTCGAGGTAAGGATGAGGTGGGCAACAAAATACTGTGCCCACCTCACAATGCAGTTATCCAGGCTGTGCACACAAAAAGGCAGCGATTTCAAAAACTGGCTGTGCAAACGGCAACCGTACATACACTTGCTAGTCACTACAAAATATTCATATTTTTTCTCACAATTCTGATTCTTCAACAGCCGAAGCCCAATGATACTGGCATTAGGGGTGTAAGAAAACATCGATACACTGAAATATCGCGATATTTCATTTCCCGATACTGTATCGATATTCTAAAGCCCTGTATCGATTTTTTTTATTAAAGTTTAAAATGTCAACTTTCTTGCCAGCCATTCATTTTTATGTTGTAGTTCAGCCTCTGACCACCAGTTGGCAGCAGTGAGCCAGACATTTGGCTACTCTACCTCAAGAGTAGTTAAGTGTTGGGTGACCATATTTTAAATTAATATTAAGAACTAAAAGCTGCAAAAAATATATTTTCAAACTATTTATTGTCAAATTTACTAATAACTGAAAATATGGATGAAATAAGAAATATGAAACATAAAATAAAATATATACAAAGCAGAACACAGCTAAATGTATCAAAAGTATGTCTATGTAATATTAGAATTTTCTGAGACAATGAATTTTGGGTTTTCATTTTTTCCCCAGTAAGAGGTTTTTATTAAATAGAATTTTTGGACAAAAAAAATCACAGTATATCGCAATATATCGCCTTGCTTACAGTATCGCAATATATCGGGATATATCGTATCATGACCCCTCTGTCATGATATGTATCGTATCGCCAAATTCTTGCCAATACACAGCCCTAACTTGCATTAGTCAAATCAAAAAAATATTTTCTTCTTTCTTAGTGGTAAAGCTGTATAATAAACTTTAATTACTCTTCCTCAGGACATAATGTCCTGTCCAATTACTAGGCATTTTCAGCAAAGCATGTAGCCATCTTTAGCAATCTTTGCTCTACACCCAGAAGACCATTTTCATCAGTACTAAAATAAAGCTGACTATGTCTGTTTGTCATGCAGCAGTTTTGGAATCTGTCCCAAAGAACTGAATATTTCAATAAGCACTACTTTTTATTACCAATTCACACTTAATTACTTAGCTTAGAAAAGTCTTTTTTGGATTAACTAATTTCAAAGGGACAAAAAGTGTAGGAAGTTAAACGAGTTCCTACACACTTCATTTTGAAATTACATACTTTTGCAGACAAAAACATTCACATTTTTGTTTTTACTTTGAGTTATTTTTAAGATTAAAAGAGATATAAAAATACTGTAACTTACAGCTGATGTGAAAAATACTCCACTGAAAGGAGGAACTTATTGAAATTGTGATTTATATTTGAAAAACAAAAGTAAAAAARGTAAAAGTCTAGAAACACTTGTGTTTTTCCAGAGTAGGCTATGTTTTCATTAAAGKCTTCTCCAGACCTGAAAAACATTCAAATCAAAATCCATAATTTCAGGACTTGTAGGGTCCCAGTAAATAAGACAGGAATTGCTAAAAAAATATATAATTTCCAGTTCACATAGGACATTAACTGCTTTTCTTTATAAAATAACTGTTTACTTTAATTACCTTCAAGAGACTCTATTCCAGTTGCCTGAGCCAACAAGTCTTCYTGTCTCTCCACAACCTGTAATAAGAAAACAAGTAAATGATAAACAATAATTCACAAAAGTCCACACTAAGACCATTTTGGGGGTTTTCCCCACAGTGTCGTCTGCAAGGCTCCAGTTTGTCTGTTTGGGTTGAAAAAATGATCAGAGAAAATGTCTCCCTGCTGAGATAAGAAATCAGTTTATGTTTGAAAGAATTCATACTTGCTGGGTTGGAAGATGTTTTTCTTTAATTACACGTTGTTGCGTTGAGCACAGCGGTGCAGAGCTCAGACACAAACTATTATGAGCTAATGATTTTCTACTTTTATCCAGAGTTTTGCTATAATTAGCTACTATTTTTTGTTCCTTTGACTTTTTTCTAGCATGGTGCTACTAACACTAATTTTAATCATCTTTGGGCTACTGTTTTGTTCTTGTTTCAACTTAAGTAGGTAGGTAGATANAACTTGTATCTCATAATTATGACTTAGCTATCTCATTATTATGAGATACTATCTCATAATTATGACTTAACTATCTCATAGCTATCCCATAATTATGAGATAGTATCTCATAATTATGAGATAGCTAAGTCATGATTGTGAGATAGTATCTCATAATTATGACTTAGCTATCTCATTATTATGAGATAGTATCTCATAATTATGACTTAGCTATCTCATAATTATGACTTAGCCATGAGTATCCCATAATTATGAGATAGCTATCTCATAATTATGGGATAGCTAAGTCATAATTATGAGATACAAGTTTTATTTATTTTTTATCAGGGTGGCGGAAATGGGCTTCCATAGTATGTTGTTTATCATCCCAGAAAATATTATCAGACTAATCATTCCTCCTTGAGGAGTTCCATTTCCTGCTTAGCCGCTGCTTGACAAACGTTAACTTGTATAGTTGTTTCAAGAAATATTCTGAATACTTTTGAACATGTTTCCATTAATACCTATTTGATATAATTTAATTACTCATTCTTAAACCCACAGCATACAGTATCATATGATTTATATCAAAGAATACTGCCACCACAATTTACCTGTGCTCTCCTGATTTCACGTTCGAGATATAATTTTTATTTTATTTTTGGGGTGGGGGGTGGACCCACTGATGGGCCTGATGGAGYTCACCCGAAGGCCGGATGTGGCCCGCAGGCCAGCAGTTGAATAGCCCTGCTATAGATAAGCAAAAGTTGATAAAACAAATGGCACACAGATTGTGCATGGACCTGCATGGATTTAATTGCCTTTCAGAATCTGGTTTTAAACAACCCATTTTCAGGACTTTATAGACTATAATCCATTATCCAACGAGTACCTTTGAACAACTGAACCCCGAAACACAACTTTTGAGCTTACAATAATAATAAAATGAAGAATAAAGGGAACAATTGAAAGAAAAAAACATTCGCTAAGCATCTTTTAATGTCCTGTCCCCTCAACGCCTTGTTGATCACGAGGCTAAAGTTCCACTAGAGAACGCCAGAGTGCTCCACAAAAATGTAATCATGAGAAGCACAAGAGCAACATATTTTATTCAATTAGCATTAGCATCCAAGAAATTACTCACGAGTAAAAGASTATTTCGTAAAAAGGCTACTTGAGTGCTGAGTACCTAATCATAACATCTGATTTAAAATGTTTAGTTTAGTTTTGATATTTTTCAGTGTTTTTCCTGGCTTATTGCTAACACAAGGTGAACATGGATCTGTGCAGTTCTGTGTAATTACCAGCAATATTTGCTTAAGTTTTGTGTGAATTTAAAAAGCTTTATTAACATTTACGTCTGAAAGGAGCAACATGCTTTCTAACCACCATAAGTGAACATGTTTGATCTTGGATCCTCATCAACAAGCTGAATAACAAGTTGGTGTAAATTCACTGCTTCATGACTGCAGATATTGGCCTTGACCTATTTCAGGATTGATAGAGGATTTTATTTAATGCAACATGCAGGCTGAATATATATGAGCCCATTATAAAGGTAAAACCAGAGTATATGCATATACAGCGGGTAAAATAAGTATTGAACATGTCACCATTTTTCTCAGTAAATATACTGTATTACTAGAGGTGCTAATGACATGAAATTTTCACCAGATGTTGGTAACAACACAAGTGATCCATACATACAAAGAAATCAAACCATAAATGTCCAGAAATGAAGTTATTTGTAATAATGTGGAATGGCACAGGGAAAAAGTATTGAACACACTAAGAAAGGGAGGTGTAAAAAGGCATACAAAAGCCTTTGTTGTCAATGACAGCTTCAAGAC